AAAACCTAAATCCCCACCAATCAGTGATTAAGGATTGGTTAAATAAATATTATACATACAGCTATTAGCATATCTATATGAATTGCCATGGAAAAAGTGCATGTTATATCAAATTTTTAAAATGTTACAGAAAGTATGCATAATACAATCTGATTTATGTCAAAAATATTATATATTTGTTATATATATATACATACAAATTTATATATGTATTTTAAGTTTGTAAGAACCAACCAAGCAGTGATTATATTACCTATGGGCCTGGGATACTTTTACTTTCTACTTTAAAATTTCCAAATTTTAAAATACATGTTTATTGTTTGTATTGTAAACAATGAGCATGTATTTTGAAATCAGTAAAAACAATAAAGATACTTCCAGTTTGAAAACATAACAAAACAGACATGTTTCAAGTGAATCGCCTTATATTAGTCAACTGAAACTTATGAAATACTGAAAAATGTATTATCTGGCAATAAAATTACATTCGACAAACTACATTAGCAAACAATTCCTCTCCAATAATGACCATTACTCTAAAAAAGAACTGACACGAATCTGACTTGTCAAAACAGAATGTCCCTTANTTAAACAACACAAAAATAAAGCAGCATTGATTTGCCACAGTGGTTCTAGCCTTTTACCTGTTGGACTTTGATCCTTGAATCAACATGTGTCTGAACTTTGGTCCTAACCAAATCTATTCTGACACTAATTCTAACAAAAATGGCCAAAAGGTGGTGGTGGTGGGGGTATTTCTAATGATTTACAAATAAATGATAAAATTTTAAAGCCTTAAGAACAACATTCCTGCTCAATGACAGCTATCACTGGAACTGCCAGTGTCCCAAATTGTTAATGTGAGAAGAATAAAAGTCCTCTATCCTATTTTTATGAAAACTCAGTAATATAAGATAAAGAAAGCACAGAAAAACTAATTAGGCCTAATAAAGTTATCACTATGGTGTTACTCTCCTAACGATGTCAGAAAACAAAACCTACAAGGCCTTTAAAAGCCAGCAGATATTCAAAAGGCCTTACCACCACCTGTTCTCTTGTTCCCTCCTAAGAGTACTTCCCACACGCCAGCTTTCCTATACCAGTCTTCGGATACCACACAATCCAACTTTACTAAAATATCAAATCAGTTTAGAGTAACATTATAAAATAACTCTCTTTGAAAGAGTACCCACTGGAAAAGTGGCCAAATATCCTTAGAGAATCAGGTCTGCAAGACTGGTACTAAATGACCTTTAAGGTCCCTTACAACCTATGAATCTCTAATATCCTGGTTCCCTGAGGGGGAGATACTACAAATCATTGCTATGATAACCTGCCAGAGGTGGGAGGGGTGTACTGAAGGAACTAACAACTGGCAGAATGGGCGATAAAAAATAATGCTCTTAGAGCATCAGTGTCAAATCCACGCAGTACTTATTGGTAAGTGGAGATCAGAACTGAAGTCACTGACTCTCTGAGTTGAAGGAGAATCTGAAGTTCTTTTAATCCAGCCCTATCCAATAAATGTTTCTCTCACTGCAACACCACCAATAAAAAGTGGCCATCCAATTTATGTTTGAACACTCACTACTTCCTGAGGCAGCCCATTCCTCATTCCTTTCGTCAGACAGTACTGACAAGTTTTTCCTAAAATTAAGGCAAAAATCTGTCTTTAGGCAATTTTTATCCATAGACTCTAGTTCTGATAATCAGAGTCACCAAAAATAAGTC